GTTCTGGCAAAACGAGCTGTTGATGGTTGTTTGATTTGTGCTAAGACAAATAACAAAGTTACAAAGAAACTGGCCAGGGGCGGGAGGCCTTGGGCTGTACGTCCCTTCCAGAGGTGCCAAGTAGATTTTACTGAGATGCCCCGAGTGAAGAGATTTTTTAGTATGTCTGTTATGAATAGCCAGAAGTGTTCCCAAGTGTTTCCGTAACTACAAGGTCAATTATTAAAGTATTTTTTTTTTTTAAAAACAAGATCAGGTCGAGTTGAAAAAAAAAATGATGAATGGAAAAATAAAGAAGCATCTTCTAAAGCTGGTGATAGAAACTGATATGCCATGGGTGTAGCTCTTGACACTAGCTTTAGCAAGAGTAAGGGCCAGACCGAAGAGAAATATTCAACTATCTCCCTTTGAACTGAAGTTTAGAATTCCTTATCTTTGTAATTCTCGGCCTGAGTCAGGAGTAGAGTTAAGTGATGGATATTTAGAACAATTTGTGGCCTGGATACTGTCTCTTGTGAAATTTATTCGACAGGAAACTCTGCTGGCACAGACCCTGCCTTTGGACAAGTGAAAACCAAGAGACTGAGTCCTAGTTAAAGAGTAAAAAGAAGCACCACTGGTGGCTAAGTGGCGTGGACCTTTCCAGCTGTTGCTGACCACAGAAACAGCCGTCAAGAGAGCTGAACACGAGTCAAGGTCTCTGAGGCCCCAGAGGTTTGGACATCTCAGCTGGAAGAGAAAGATGGGAAGCCGCGACTGATACTCCGCAGGAGTGGACTGGAGCAGTAGCTGGTGTGTCGACATCAGGGAAAGCCCTGAGTGCCTACCCACAAACTGCCTGTTGAAATGGTCTGTATGAGCATCCCTACTCTCAGATCTCCAGCCACTGGGAGCCAATCCATGCTGTCATTGCTTTCTTTATGCTAAGCTGTTTCTGTGCTTTCACTTGCCACAGGTGGTGTAGAAGACAACGTGAAATTGAAAATTAGAAATTAGATTATAACACTATTAGAATGTTTCTCTTAATAATTTTACCTTTATATTTTCAGTTAAGTTGGAGTCTAAAGTGAGAAAATAAGTTTTTTTACTTTAAGAGAACAAGTAGCAAAGACCTTTAACCTTAAAAACTGTTGGGTCTGTAGAGGGCCAGGAGGATCTGAAAGCTGGCCATGGGTGGCCAGCCCAGTCGAGCCTAAATGGTGGGTTAGCACCTTGAGTGAAGTCAATAATAGAACTGGATTTTGAGACAAAGAAAGAAGTCCATGGCAGCTTCATTCTTCTGAAAGAGGCATTTATTGCTTAAACAAAACAGGAAGCACATATGTGAGAAAGAGCATTTGTGACTGGACTTTAGGTTTAGATTGTTAGACCCCCAACTGCCCTCCTTATGACTGTTCCAGATATAGAGGCAGATGGAATCAAATGCATGTTAAGCTCACTAATGGTAGCTGAGTAAAGTGTTCCTTCCATAATTACCAAAAAGATTTTGAAAACTGTAAAGCAGTGGGGAAAGATAAGTTTTTTGACCCTTTATTTTTAAGCTGCCCCTGAAATAATTCCACAAGTCAGACACGTGTTGTCCGAGACTATCAGTGGAAGTGGCAGCACCAGAGTGGAGCTCGAACCCTTTTCAGTAAGTTCTGGTCCAGATCTAATAGAACAGATCTGGGATGTGATTGCAAGTAGAAACCTCATGTAAGAGCTTAGAAATGTAAATATTGTGATTCTTACAGCGAGGCAACTATTGTGGGTGGACCCCTAAGCCCTAGAAGCAAGCTGTATTTTGACCCACCAGTTGATGATGAAAATTGGAAAGGTCCCTTCGCTAATGAGACCTAGGCTCTAAAGAGGCACTACTGAATTTGTGGCCAAAATGCTTACTGCAAGCTACCTCCAAACTGGCCAGGGATATGTTATGTGGAGTATATTAGACCATTGTTCTTTCTGCTACCACAAGTTCAAGGAAATCAGTTAGGAATCAAAGTATATAATAATCTAATTAGAGAGAAGCGGTCTATTGATACATCCCTGGTGAGAAGGAGCACCCAAAAGTAGAAAAAAGATGAATGGCCACCTGAACGGATCATACAACACTATGGACCAGCTACCTAGAACCCAAATGAATTAATA